TGAAAACATGCTTAAACTAAAGGCCAAGCTCTCACAATTAATAAATAGTCCCCATGTCCTTATTTGGGAGCTTGCTGGCGGGACAGAGAAAGACTCATTATACCTACCACGTGGGTGTTGGGAATCAAACCAGGGCCCTTTGTAAGAGCAACAAGTGCTCTTAACCACTGAGCCGTCTTTCTAGTCCTATTTTATTTATGTTTTTTAGACAGGGTATTACTGTGTAGCCCTGGCTGGCCTGGAACTCACTATGTAGACCAGGCTATCCTCCAACTTACAGAGGTCCGCTGGTCATAGCCACTACACACAGTTTTCTACCTCTTTTTTTTCTGCACACAGGCTCTGAAGTCTAAATGGGCTCTGACCCTGGCAGTATGGCCTTAGACAAGCCACCTTGTGTTTTTGTTTAATGACACCATGCGTCCTCGAGGCACAGTGAGGGGTTCCTGAGGTGGCTGCCTGTAGGACTTAGGACAGAGCAAGTCCGAGTCACTGGCTCATCTCATAGCAGCTGTGGCTCCTGAGGTTGGTTCTTCCTCTTGCCTGTTTGCCCGGCTGGAGCAAATGGAAATTGATGGGCACACTCTCATCTTCCAGCGTGGAAACCTGTGGGGAAGACAGCTGTCTCCCATCTGCTCTGGGAAGGCATCCTTGCTCACTCGGAGTCAGGTTCTGGGTAGAAGAGCCAAACAGAGAAGGCAGAGCCATCTAGAGCTCAGCTTGAACCCTGACCTCACCAGCTGAGTATCCATGAGCAGGTCCCTTAACCGCTCTCTGTGAATGCTCTGCCTCAGTTTCCCAATCTGCTAGGTGGATCTATGCAGGCCACTAAGAGGCTACTACGACTATCGGGCTTCTGGCTGGTCCTGAACTGTGGCACTATGGACAGCCAGAATAGGTAGCTTTCAGGTTCCCACTCTTCCAGGCAGACAAAGACAGTCCTGGCTCAGCCTGCTCCTCAGAGGATGGGGAAGGTGCAGAGTGGTGGGAAAGATTCCTGGGCAAGCTGCAGGAGCAGCTAGCTAGCAAAGACCACGCCAAGCCACAAGCCACTTAGCTTGACCTGAGAGGGTGCAGTGGAGTCTGAGCTGGGTGGGGCTGAGGGCAGAGGGGAGGCTGGCCAAGGGCCTCCATCCTCAGGTGCAGGGAGGCCTTTCCATCCTGGATCTCCTGCAAACAGCATCTTCTGGAGCTGGGATGGTGCAGCTGGAGGGATGGGAGGGTGTGGCCTGCAGGCTCTCAGGCTTTCCCAGGCTCCTTCGCACACTGTTGTCCCGGCAGCTGCAGCCACCCAAAGATTCCCTCCGCCTCCCTCCAGTGGTGGCGCCCTGGCCATGAACTCTCAGGGAATAAACAGGGGCAGAGCCTGCAGAGTGGTGAGTACTCCCAGCCCCCAGCAATGTAAACTCCCCAGATATATTTATACTGTCTGGTCCTGGCCCAGGTCCCCTGTCCAGCTCACAAGTGTCACACCATACAAATGTCACATGTACAAGGAACCTGGGCTTCTCCACGTGGTGGTGGGAGAGGCAAGGAGGGGTCAGGGGCACCGTGGGGTGACTGGAGCTGGGAGCCCAGAGTGGGGGCTGAAGGCTAGAGGGAGGCACAGAGGACGTGGAGCGCAGCCTTGCTACAGAGTGTTGCTGGAACCATGTCTGTAGAGTTGCCTTAGAGGATTCCCTAGCCTGGACAGTGACCTGGGTCACTCTGTGGCCTTCCAGGGCCAGGCTTGGCCCTGGACTCCAGGGTCATATGGCCTGGGGCCCTGTCTAACTGACAAATGGCCCAAGACTCCAGTCCTTTCTTTACTTTTTTATTGCCCTCAGCTGGGCACCTTGCCAAGACTCTTGTTCACATTATCTCATTTAAGTCTTACACTGGCCTGGGGGCAGGAGTCACTGTTTCCTCATAGCCCAGGGGTGAGTCTGAGGGGCTGGACAAATGTCCTGAAGTGATGGAGGTAGAAGCTTCCAGATGACACAACATTTTAGCCCTAGAGAGTTGTAGCTATGTTCCCTGTGACAGGGAACCCTGGGCTCTTGCGTTCTGATAAACTTTCTCCAGAGTGGGCCAGAAAGCATGATGGCAAGAGGCCTGGCCCTGGCCCGAGGGAGCCTCAGATTGAGTGGGACACAGCCCTGTCTGAGGGAGCTCTAATTCTGAGTCTGGTCCTCAGAGAGACTCAGCCTGAGGGAAACACAGTCTGAGGAAGACAGGGCCAGGCCTCAGAGAACTCCAGCCTGAGGAAGACAGGGCCCGGCCTCAGAGAACTCCAGCCTGAAGAACACAGAGCCTGTCATCGGGGGGAGTTCAAGTCTTAGGGGGAGCCCTAGACCACAAGAAATGGCTGACAGAACACTGGGAGGGCAGGTGGAGCCTGAGGGCTCCTCAGAGCTGGGGAGGAGGAGTTTGGCAAGTGTGCTCCACTTTCTGCAGGCCTGGAGACCGGTGCAAGGTCCTGATTAGGAAACAAGCCTGTCCCTGCTGCTGCCAGCGCCCCCTTCCCTGGCTGTAAGGCCTTCCTGGCCCTGCCTACCCTGCCTGGGAGGGGCAGGCAGAGCAGAGCCCTGTGACAAGCATGCCACTGAGGATGACACCCAGGGAAAGCTATTTTCATCCGGGAAGTCTCCTGCTTCTGCTGCCCACCCCAAAATAACCTGGCTCCTGCAGGGACTGAGCACCTCGGGCTGTCACCAGCTGCCTGCAGCACCCCAGCTCACCACGGAAAGTCCACTCGGATGTAGAGCGGACCCCCACCCCAGGCGGAAGCTCTGTTTAGGAAGCCCCCAAATGGCAGGGCTGTGTCTCCTCTCTGGGATTGCGGACCTCGGACATTCAGGTCTCTGCAGCCTGCTTCCCTGAAGAGGTTTATTTTGGGGGGGGGGCAGTAGGAGTTGGGTAGAGTTAGGTGGTTTTTCACCTGTCCAGGCTGTGATTTGGAAGTTTGCTGTGGCTGAAAAACCACATCTCCCTTCACATGGCCGGTGGGCTCAGTGGAGCCTGGCTGTACTTGGCAATGCCAGGCTGCCCTGCTGCTGGCCACATGGCCTCTGATGGGAGGGTTCACATGTCCCAGCAGCAGCCAGCCACCTGCTACCTCTGCCTCCCAAAATAGGGAACCCTGGCCTTCTCCTCTTACTACCCTGTCTCAGCATGGGTCACTCATGCTTCCTACCCTGCTCATCACGGGGAGGTGTTGAGGGATTGACCTTCAGCCCTGACTTTCCTGAAAGCTGGTGTCTGGATGTGGCCTAAGGGAGTTGTTTGGATTCTGGGCTGGCTGCAGAATGGGGTGCTACTTGTAGGATCAGTGTCCTGTGTTATGAAGGGCCTTGTTCCCCACATCTCCCCCCTCCTCAGCATCTAATAGAATCCCTAACATTAGGTAGGGGCTTGGACTGTTGGCTCAAGCAGTGTGTGTGTGTGTGTTGCATATATGCATACATGTTTGTGTTTGCATGCACACTGTAGGGTTGTGCTTGTGTGTGTGTATATATATATTTTTTGGTTTGTGTGTGTACATACATTCATGCTTGTGTGTGTTGCATATATGCATACATGTTCGTGTTTGCATGCATGTTGTAGGGTTGTGCGTGCGTGCGTGCGTGCGTGCATGTGTGTGTGTGTGTGTGTGTGTGTGTGTGTGTGTGTAGGCTAGAGGTCTACCTTAGGTTTCTGGTTCAGTGGCGTATTATTATGGAGAAAGTCTCTCACTGACCTTGGGAGCTCAATGATTCAGAGACACTGGCTGTCAAGTAAGCCCCATAGATCTGCCCCTCTCTGCCTCCCCAGTACTGGGATTGTAGGCATTTATCACTGTGTCCAGCTTCTCTGTGCCAGGGATCCAAGTCCTGATGCTCACACAGCAAACTCCTTACTGACTGAGTCGTCTGCCAGCCCCAACCCAAGGAGGGCGGAAAAGGCTGAAATGCAAAGGTTGAGAAGGAGAGACTCCCCCACGTGAATCCCCCACAGCTCATTCACACACAGCAGCCATTGCTGAGTGTTTTCTCCTGTGAAGACTCTGCCACAGCCACCATACACTTGTGTTTAACCCTCAAAGCGCCCTGTGAGAGGGATAGGGTTGCACCACTTCATGGTAGAGCACGGGAGGCCCAGGGTGCTCAAGCCTTTGCCTAACTCACACGGCAGGGATACAGAGGAGTTGGTGGAACCAAACCCAGGCCAGAACAATATCTTTCCTTTCTCTGAACTGGTTTGTCCTTACCATGAGAAAATTCCAACTTTCAAACAGGTAAGAGTAGTGTAGTGAACCTGCAAGTATTCACCACTGATACCGCATAATGAACATTTTGTTGCATTTTATTTGCCATGGGAGGGATATATATATATATATATATATATATATATATATATAATTATTATGCCACTGTGATCTGTCACCCAATCACCAATCACTCCAGAATGCATCTCTACATACACAATGGACCAGTACAACCCAGTAGGTACCGTACTTGTGCTGTGTAAGCACTGAGACCTGATCTCGGCTCCCCAGTACCCAAGTAGAAAGCTGTGCTTGGGAGACAGAGAAGGGAGGGTCTCTGAGGCTTACTGCAGCCAGTCTGGCCTCATCAATGGGCCCCAGGCTCAGTGAGAGATCTTGTGCAAAAATAAAGTGGAGAGAGCTAGAAGACACCTGATGTCACCTGACTTTCACACACGTGCATTCACGCATGTGCATGCACACCTGCACAGGCACACATACATATGAACACACACACACATGTAATTAAAAATAATGCAAATAAAATTTTGAAAAGAGGCATCTCACTTCCTTCTCCAGGGTCTAGCCAGTAAATGGATGGAACTAGAAAAAATCATATTGACTGAGATAACTCAGACCCAGAAAGACAAATGTCACATGTTCACTCTCATCAGAGGCCCCTAGCTGCAGATCTTTAGATGTAGGTGTAGCCGCCCTCACCCCTCATCAAGAAACTTATCTTTGCAACAGACAGAGACCACCACATAAACCTCACAAGCAATCAGAATGCAGATCTGTGGGCCCCCTCCCAGTGGACACATCTACAAAACACCCTGTATCTAAGACTCGGGGACACCGGGGAAGAGGGCAGAGAGACTGTCAGAGCCAGAGGACCAGAGAGCTTGCAGTGACACTGGGCCTCAGCTGGTCAAACACTACAACCGTGACGTCTCGCCAGCACGACCGCGTCGACAGAGCTGAACAAAGACAGCGGGTGGAGGGAAAGCCCAGGAGGCCTCAGCCTTACACAGAGATCTACAGGCAATAAAAGGTACTGAGAGCACGCCCTCTCGTTATCTACCCTCAGATGATCGGCTCAGGAAACATACAAATGGGCAACATACAGACTGAGTGGGGGTATTTAAAATATGTGGGTACACATGTACATAGATGCACGTGACAACAATTAATGGAAAGGGGGCCGCGGATTTGAAAGAAAACAAGGAGAGGGTGTGTGGAAAGGTTTGGAGGGAGGAGAGGGAAGCAGAAATGATGCAATCACTTTACAATCTCAAAAGAAAAGAAATACATAGAAAAGAGAATGCTTGGACCTTCACTTAGCCCTTGGAGATTTAAAAAATTTATTTTATTTTATGAGTATGTGTTTTGATTGCACATACATCTATAAGGGTGTTGGATTCCCTGAAGTGAGAGTTACAGATGGTCGTGAGCTGCCATGGGGATGCTGGGAATTGAACCTGGGTCCTCCGGAAGAGTAACCAGTGCTCCCAACTGCTGAGCCGTCTCTCCAGCCTGACCTTGGAGATTTTTGTGTGGAGCAGGCTCATTAAGATGCCTCACTGCTCTGTGTGCTGGCTACTTCTCTGCTGCTGTGACTAAACACCATGACCAAAGCAACTTAAGGAAGAAGAGTTTATCTTGGCTTATGGTTCCAGAGGGTTTAGAGTCCACTGTGGTTCAGTAGAGGCATGCAGCTAGAGCAGGAAGCTGAGAGAGAGCTCACGGCTTCACACAGCAAGCTTGAAACAGAGAGAGAAGCAGTGGAGACTTTGAACCCTCAAAGCCTGTCCTGAGTGACACACCTCTTCCAGCAAGACCACACCTCCTACGCCTCCCCCAAACAGCGCCACCAACTGGAGACCAAGCCTTCTAACACACGAGCCCATGGGGGCACTTCTCATTCAAACCACCAAGGCTTGGCAACTCTTTAGGTACTCACAGAATTCTCCCCATCAATGATATCAACTAAATCACTACAGTGTTGTGGGCTGTGAAAAATGTACCCTTGCTTACAGATGGGGCGGCTCGGATGCTTGGGGAAATGCCCAGAGCACTTTCTTTAAGACACGGCGGAGTCCCAGTTTGGATTGAGGTCAAACTTTACCATTCTTTATTTACCAGGACTGAATGGATTGGGGATCGCCCTTCTGTTTGCACGTGGACAGAGGCCTTCACAATTTAACTCCCACATGACTTGTGAGTAACCATCCTTTGAGGAATGTGGAGATTGGTGGGGGCATATCTGGAGGTCTGAGTCTCAGGTACCCAGAGGAAAACACTTAACTGGATCTTGGGGGACACCCCAGGGAGGAGTATGGATTGAAGCTAGAGATGCTGCCATTCTGGAGTACTTTAAAGACATCGGAGCCTCGGGCTCCGCAGACACTGTTGACTCCGCAAACACGGAGCCATTGCGCTTGTGGAAAGACCGTACAGTGACTAGGGGAGCAAGGGATCCCATGGAGGACAGACTTTGGGAGAACTCTTCAGTCACCTCAGCAGTGAAGACAGGAGCTCGAGCCCCAGCCCTAGTCCCCTCTTCCCGAGGGTGCTCAGGGACTTCCATGCTGGGTGCTCCATTTTAGCAAGGCCGAGGACTAAGACAGGTGGCAGGGCTGCAGGCGACATCATGGCGAGCAGGTGTAGAGCGCGGAGGGTCCCTAAGGAGGCGGTAGTCCGGTCAGCTGAGAAACGGACAGTTTGGTTGTGGGCAGCTGTGGGCAGGTGAGACCCACCCTGTCCAGGCTCAGGGGACCCTGAGCCCTAGGATATCTGAGGGCTTGGGACTCAGCTTTGTTTGCCGGAGACGAGGGGGGCGGGGCAGGAGCAGCGAAGTTTTCCGAATGGAAAATGACGAGCTCTTTCTGGAAAACTGACTTTCCCAGCTTGGTGGGTAGAGCTGACTAGGGGAAACCTGAGCCCTGTGGGCAGGCTGGGGGGTCCACCAGCAGGGGAGGCAAGCCCCGAGGCGCCTCTCCATGAGAGCTGTGGAGGGCTGGCTGCCTGAGACAGCGGGTGTGGTGGAGAGCTGGAAGCTGAGTTAGCCTCAGCCACAGTCCCCTGCAGCCTGGGCCCAAACCAGCAGCCAGAGCGATACGTGACAACAGAGGCGTTCCTGCTTCTCTTCAGCTCTGGCCGTCCTCACGGTGGCGTGAGGGGGCAAGGGTTGTGTGGGCGCCTGCAAGACCCGCGCACTCCCACCTTGCTGTTTCTCTGCCCCTCGTTCACTCCGTTCCAGCCTCATGCCTGGCACACTCACGCCCCAGGACCTTTGCACTGCTCGCTCTCCGCCTGGATGCCCTTTCCCCATCGGTTCTCGTCTCGAGGACTTCGTCCAAATCATCTCAGCAGGGCCTTCCTATCGGCACCGCAGCCTGACTCTACCCAGTCACCCTGTTCTGTACGGCTTTAGCTTTCTCCAAATCGCTTACATATGTTTGTAGCAGGTAAATGATAGTGGCCCCAAAAGCTGTCCCCATGTTTACTCCTGCAAACTTTGCAAACGGCACTGTAGTGCAGCAGTTCTCAACGTGTGGGCCATGACCCCTTTGAGGGGTGGGCAACACTTTCACAGGGGCCGCCTAAGACCATCGGAAAACACAACACAGATGTGTTTACATTGCAATTCATAGCAGTAGCAAAATTAAAGTTATGAAGTAGCAATGAAAATAGTTGCATGGCGGGGGGGGGGGGCGTTCATCACAACACGAGGATCCGTATTTAAAGGGCCGCAGCGTTAGGAAGGTTGAGAACCACTGCTGTAGTGGATTGTACAGTGTTCTGTGCCCATCCCCCTTCAAAAGCTCTGTCCACCTGGAAGCTTAGACAGCGACCTTGCTTGGAGGTGCAGTCCTTGCAGGTGTAAGATGACCAGTGGAAGATGAGGTCATGCTGGATTCCAGGTGGGCCCACACCCAGTGACCGGTATCTTTGTAAGAGAAAACACACACACACACACACACACACACACACACACACACACAGAGGGCTGCAGTAAGGCAGCCACAGCCGAGGCCCAGGGGTAGTCAGTGGTCGTCAGGGAGTTAGAAGGGATGCCTCCCCAGTGCTGGGAGGGAGGAGCCCTGCCAACAGCTTCATCTTGGCCTCTGACTTCCAGACCTGTGAGACCGTGCAGTTTTGTTTTGAGGATGCAGTAACTTGTACTGTGGCCTCAAGAGCTAGTGCCACTAATACTGCATGTCACAGTGTACTCACAGGCCTTGTTTTAGTGTGTGTGTGTTGTACCTTTCCATGTGGGGATATATGCATGCTTACAGGATGGGAATTGAGCCTATGACTTGACCCGCCCACTCTGAGAGCCATACTAAATCACAAACCCCAGTCTGGGCCAGCGGATTTGCCATGTGACCTTGAGCAAGTCATGGCCTGGTTTCAGATGAATATTCGACCCATCAGGCATGGAGGCACACAACTTTAATCTCAGCACTCTGGGGGCAGAGGCAGGCAGATCTCCGTGAGTTCATGGTGAACATGGTTGTTGTAGGGAGTTCCAGACCAGACAGGACTACATGGTGAGACCTTGCCTCAGAACAACCACCAACAAGTAGGTTTTCCCTGGAGCGCTGATTTCTGGTAACTTCCTTCCCTTTACTCCTCCTTCTCCTTGGATAAGCTTGGGGATGCCTCCAGCCACACAGCTCTCCTGCCCTTAGCTCTCTACCAGGAGCTGAGATCCCTGCCTTGGAGGCAGGTGTGAAGATTAACATAGTAGTGGGGGAACAGAGGGGTGACTAGCCCAGTAAGACTTCATCTTCAACTTTCTGTGTCCTCCGGTCCCGTAAACACAGACTCCATCAATCATCATTTTAAACTATCAGAAGAATTTGCGTCTTTTTTATTCCTTTTCGTCATTATTATTTTCTAAACCATACAATGTGATAACAGGTTGCATAGCATCTATGTCGTGTGAGGTGTTTTATATAGTTTAGGTGGATGGGAGGATTTGTTGTGAGAGTGTCATCATTTTGCACAAGGCATTTGAGCATCTGGGGACACTGGTTTGAGGCGATCCTGGAAGCAGCTGTGGCAGATACAGGTGATGGTTGTTCCTGGTCCCAATGGTCCCACTGTCAGCCCTGTATCTACACACACATTCTGTGCCCTGCAAGCCTGTGTGTTTTATCTACCGCAGGGCCAGCGAGAAGCACCCGTCCATCCCGTCATGGGTGTGACTGGGCACAGCATGCAAGATGGCGCGGCCAAGCCTGGGTAAACACCCTTCCTCCCTCACAGCATGAGCAAAGATGCTCTTCCCTTGCTCGGCGCACAATGGACACCTTGTGTGAGCCAAGGGCAAAAGTGGGCACTTACAGTTGCTGATCTGGGCTGAGCCCCAAACGGGCCCAGAAATGGCCAGACAAAGGGGCCTGGAAAACCAGTGCTGCTGTCTGGCGATGGATTGTGGGGAAGAGGGTGCCCGCATGCAGTCCTGAGGGCAGAGAGGGGGAAAGAGGGGAGGACCCCCAAAGGGGCCGTTTAAGAAGTGAGCTACAGCTCAGGGCGTGGGGTAAGTGCGGGGTGGGTGAGGGGCTGCAGATCAGGAGGAGGGGCTCTTCAGGAGGGGTCTGGCTGTCGTTCCTGGCAGGAAGGGGCTTGCTTCCTTCCAGCTCCAGGCCCCCTGGCTCAGGAAGCTCTCAGGTTTCGAAGCCAGACTGGCTCTTGAGATGCACAGAGCTGAGCGGGCATCTTCCACACTGATGTCCCTGTCCCCGAGCCTCCTTTCGCTCTAGGGGAATACTTCATAAACTGAAAAGTTGGCCCTGAAAGACACCATCGAAGCTGCTGCTGGCCTGTGAGGACACAGAGACGGCGCCTGCACTGGGCCCCAAACACCCTACACTGCCGCAGCTAGCTCCCAACGGGCTGTCTGAGCCGCTGCCATAGACAGAGATGTCCCTGGTGTCCTGTCAGTGGGAGCCCGTGAAACGGCCCACTTCATTTTGAGCAGGGTCTCATGGATCCTAGGACTATCTCCAGCTCACTGTGTTGCTAAATATGACTTTGAGCTTCTGACTCTCCTGTCTCCACCTCCCAACTGCATGTTTGTTGTTTGTTCCGCCCTCTCTCTTGTGTGTGTGTGTGTGTGTGTGTGTGTGTGCCCGTGCCCACACGCTTGCCCGTGCACATGCACATCTGTCCAGGTAAAGCTTTCCTCCATTGCCTTCTGCCTTATTTTTGAGACAGTCTTTCACTGAGTCTGAACTCACTGTTTGCAGCTAGCCCCGGTGATCCCCCATCTGCACTCCCTACCTCCAAGAGTCAGGGTTTACAAACACACCCAGTCACTCCGGGCTTGCCTGGCTTTGTGTGTGTGTGTGTGTGTGTGTGTGTGTGTGTGTGTGTGTGTGTTGGTGCAAGGGCTCCAAACTCAGGCTCCTCAGGTTCCTATGTTTGTAGAGCAGGCACTTTTACTCACTAAGCCGTCTCCCCAAGTGCCTCCCCGCATGTCTGATCTCATGTTGTGCAAGTGGTTGAACTTAGGGCTTCATGCATGCCAGGCAAGCACTCTGCCAGCTGAGCTGCACCCCAGCCTTAGAACTGTCATCTCAATTAAGTGTGAGCCACTCCCAGACCCTGATATCCAAGGATGTGCTTCGGGATCAGGCTTTGAGGTTGGTGCACTGGAAGCCTGCTGCTGGGGTTAATGCATGTAGAGCCCAGGAAGTCAGGGCCTGGCTCCCCCGCCCTGGGGTGGGGTGGGGGGGCATGAACGCAAACCCTGTTTTCCTCTGGGCTCACGGGGAAGTCGAAGGACATGTGATGCTTGCGATCGTCTGTCCAGGCAGAGGCTCCGAGAGAGTTCTGCTTCCCTCTCCTAAGATGGAGGGTGACGTCTGGTACACAGGGAGCTGGACCTAGGTAGCCTGCCACTGGGACGGGGACCCAGGAATGATGGGGGGAGATGGACCGACAGAAACTTGGTCAGATCCCATGTTGGTAGTGCCATGTCCCCTGTGGCCTTTGCGGCATGAAGCAGTACCGGCTCCACCCGCTACCTCTGTTTGGACTGCTTCCTCTAAAGTTCTCACCCCAAACCCCACCCTCTTTCCTGGAGCTGCCTTCTGTTTCTCTCCAGCAGGACACCCAACACTGGGACGGCTGCAGCCGTCCCGCAGTCCATGGGTCCCCAGGGCATGATTATCAGGGCTATTGCCTTTCGTCTTGTGTGCCTGGTGGTGAGTTCTTAGACACCTCTTGTTGCTTTTGGTTTTTGACCAGGTGTGTTGGTTTAAGTGAGACTGGCCGCCATAGACACAGGTATTTGAATATCTGGTCCCCGGCTGGTGGAGCTGTTTGAGAAGAATAAGGAGGTGTGGCCTGTGGGAGGAGGTGTGGCCTGTGGGAGGAGGTGTGGCCTGTGGGAGAAGGTGTGGCCTGTGGGAGGAGGTGTGGCCTGTGGGAGGAGGTGTGGCCTGTGGGAGAAGGTGTGGCCTGTGGGAGGAGGTGTGGCCTGTGGGAGGAGGTGTGTCACGAGGGAGTGGACTTTACACTGGGGGGTGGACTTTAATGTTCTAAAAGCCCACGCCTTTCCCAGTTCTCTCTCTGTCTCTGTCTCTGTCTCTCTCTCTCTGTCTCTGTCTCTCTGTCTCTCTCTGTCTTTCTCTGTCTCTGTCTCTCTCTCTCTGTCTTTGTCTGTCTCTCTCTGTCTCTGTCTGTCTCTGTCTGTCTCTCTCTGTCTCTCTCTGTCTCTGTCTCTGTCTCTCTCTCTCTGTCTTGTGCTTGTGGATCAGGTTCAGGTTCTCAGCTGCTGTCCCAGCTCCGTGCCTGCCTGTCTGCTGATGTGTTCCCTGCCATGATGGCCATGGCCGCTAACCCTCTGGAACCAAACGCTCCCAAATCAATGCTTTCTTTTTTATAAGTTACCCTGGTGTTTTGCCACTGCAATAGAAAAGTAAGCGGGACACAAGGTCTCCCTGCTCTGTAGACCAGGCTGGCCTTGAACTCACAGAGATCCACTTGCCTCCAACTCCTGGGTGCTGGGATCAAAGGCGTGCGCCACCACACCCAGCTTCATTCTAAGGATGAGAAAACCAACTTGAAAACCTCTAGCAGGCTGTCTGGTCCCATGCTGGGGGTTTAATCTAGCTGTCTTCACACACTGTGTCCCTGATTCCTGAGTCCCCCTGTCCCTAAGCAGGACCGCACATGCATCCCTGCCTCTGTAAGTGTGGTCCACTCCTATTGATAAAGTGTAGGTGAGGGGGGGGCTATTGTCAGCCCTGATTTGACAGTGACAGTGCAGTTTGGGGGACCCCCTGCAAGAGTGGCCCTCCTGTTCTCTGTGGGGCTATTCTCGGGCTCCCTGCCCTCTCGAACTTTCCCTCCAATCCAAAGGATGTCAGACCTCTTATCTCACTGGGTGTGCACCTCCTTGGGGCTCTGTAAGGACATTCTGGCCTCACAGAGGTTGGTGACTCAGCCAGGGTCCCCAGAGAAGTCCGACAGGGCAGGGGTCCCATTTGGACCACTTGTCGCGGTCCTCACGGCCACCACACACCCTCCATCTGGCATGGGAGTGGGGCTAAGGAGTGGGGGTGACTTTCTCGGATGGTCCATCCCAAGTGCACAGAGAGACGCTCCGGGGCTCCAGCCCTGCCCACAGCTCAGAGCGAGCTGCTTGTGGTCACTCGCTTCCTTACCACGAGCTCAGGATGTTGAAACTCTCTGATGGTAGTAGATGTTCCTTCTTGCTCCACAGTCCCGGGTTGGGTGTTGGGCGTGGAAGCCTGTACGTGGACCCGTTGTTGGGTGAGTGCAGTCAAGGGCGCCCCCCCTCCCACCCCCCCACCCCCCGCCCCATGAGACGTTTCCTGAAGGACCTGTTTCTTTTCTGGTGGCGATACATAACCCGCTCACCCTGGTTTATTTAAGCAGAGTGCTGAACCAGGAGCCTCGGATGAAAATCGCTCAGAGCAGTATTGTTCACTCTGGAAGAATCCGGAGCCTGCCCCAGTACCCATCAGCGGCGGAGAGGATGAATGAGCTGTGGCTATGGTCATGTGGTGAAATGTTAGACAGCGGTCAAAAACGAGTGTCCCCGCCTAACATGCCACAGTGGGATGGATCTGGCAACAGGAAACCAAGATGAAAAGGTCCCAAGGGATGGTTTGCTGCATGACACTTTTGAATAAGGTTAAAAACCCTGAATATGAAATCTTAATTTTATGGAATTCATATGCATGTAATTAAGTTATATGAAGTGTTAAGTAAGGGAATGTGGGCCTGGGATTAAGACAGCCGTTACTACAGATGGAGCCCAGGGCAGAGTTAGAGACGGGCTGGAGTGAAGGATGGGCCGTTGTTCTGGGTGATGGGTTTATGAACTTTCATTACATGAGTTGACCAATGTAACTAAACAGTGCCAACAGAAGCGGGCAGGGCCCAGACCATTAATAGGATTGCCATGGACCAAGGAGTCTGTAAACCTGGGATCCAAACTGAAAACCCAAACCAAAGGAAAGGCACAGAGAAGGCTCTTATGCCATCCCCCTAAGAAGACAACTGGAAAAAAAATATATGTGATGGGAAGTAAGCACTTGGCAGCCAGACTCTGGGAAAGGACATTGCCACTTTGCTTTGCTTTAAGACAGAGTCCTGTGTGGCCCAGGCTGGCCTCGAACTCACTGCATAGCCATGGACGACCTTGGTTCTGGAAGACAGGCATGTAGTGCCGAGGCCTGTACTTTGGCTTCCCACACACTAACATGCCCAGCCACCCTCATAAGAGTTATAGCTGTCCCTCGCTTGGTTCCAGGATCTCTCAAGTACTTCGGATACTCGAGTCTCTTAAAGAAAATGGCACAGCATTCACATATGTCTTACACAATTCCTCCCATATACTTTGAATTATCTCTAGATTACTTATAATAATACGCAGTTGTTATGATGTCAACAGTTGTTGTACTGTGTCATTTAGGGGATAATGACAGGAAAGAAGTGGTCTGTGCATGTTCTGCACAGATGTGATTTCTTTTGCTGACTTACCTTTGATCTGCACTTGATTGAACCCACAGACAGACCCCGTGGATGCAGGTAGTGGCTTTTGTTATTTTAGCTGTCATCTTGGTAGGTCAGAAGTCTGTGTGCTGAGCAGCTATGCTCTCTGCGCAGGGTCACCAGAGACTTGGGGTCTACTCCTACATTCTTCATAGTCCTGGGACAGAGGGCCTTAACTTCTGAGGCCGCTGTTATCTCCTACAGGGCTGTTTTCCACAGCATGGATGTGAGCACAATCCAATGAAAGGGGTATCTCACTGGATTCACGAGTCTGGTTCACACTCAGAGGGAGCGTGTTTACACTGTATGCATGTTGGTTTGAAAGAGAAGTGCCCCCTGTAGGTATCTGAACATCTGGTCTCCAGTTGGTGGCACTGTTTGGAGATACTTGGGCGGTGCAGCCTTGCTGGAGGAAGTGTGTTGTTGGCGGGGGTGGGGGGGCGGGAGGGTGGGGGGGATTCAGGGTTCAGAGCCTTGCTCCGGCTGCCAGTTTGCTCTGCTTTGTGTCTGAAGCTGAAGATGTGAGCCCTCAGCTTCCTGCTCCAACTGCCTTCCCACCACGATCAAATCTTACCCCCTGGACCCATAGGCCCAGGTAAACTCCCCGCCCCCACCTCCTCATTTTCCTTTATCAAAAAGGATTTATTTGCATTGTTTCTATTAATGTGTGTGTGTTTGACTAGTGAGTGAATGCTACATACATGTAGGTGCCCACAGAGGCCAGGAGAAGGTGTTAGATTCCCCTGGAGCAGGAGTTACAGGTGTTCGTGAGTGACTGGTGTGGGTGCTGGCAGCCACACTTGGGTCACCTGAAAGAGCAGTCCTCCTTGCTCCTAACTGTTGAGCTCTCTCCAGCCTTCTACAAGTTGCCTTAGCCATGAGTCAGAGCAACAGAAAAATAACCATTGTTGTAGAATATTAGTAAGATGTGTTACATCTGTTTGTGCTGTGGAATATTAGTCTAGTGATGCAGAGATGTGTTGCATTCTTTTATACTGCATTTGTTTAACTCTGGGAAGCTGTGTTTCTTTGCCTGTCTAAAACACCTGATTGGTCTAATAAAGAGCTGAACGGCCAATAGCTAGGCAGGAGAAAGGATAGGCGGGACTAGCATGCTGAGAGAACAAATAGGAGAAGAGAGAAGAGGGGAGGAGTAAAAGAAAGAGACAGGACATCAGGGGACAGCCACCCGGCCACCCAGCCACCCAGCCACCCAACCACCCGGCCACCCGGCCACCTGGCCACCCGGCCACCCGGCCACCCAACCACCTGGCCACCCAGCCACCCAGCCAGCAACAGAGTAAGACATAAAGACACGAGTATAGCATAGAAAAAGGTAGAAGTCCAGAGGCAAAAGTTAGATGGGATAATTTAAATTAAGAAAAGCTGGCTAGAAACAAGTCAAGCTAAGGTTGGGCATTCATAAGAAAGAATAAGTCTCTGTGTATTTATTTGGGAACTGGGGGGTGGGCCCCCAAAGAGCAAAGAGTGAAAAACAAACAACTACAAACCACCACAGTATATACATCAGGGTGGGGGAAAGTCTGGGGCAAAACAGAAGAATGTTTGTCATACTGCCGTTTCAAAGCTTGACATTCTCCTCCATGAGGCAAGGGGAAGAATCTGTACTCAGAAGGAACTGCTCCTCAGTGAAAATGATAAATGTAGAATGGTCCCGTTCAGAGACACTGGCGAGGCTTGCTACATGCCAGGCAGGCCCCCGAAAGCTCAGTGGACATGGTGGCTGTGGCGGTTTGGATGAAATGGCCCCCTAGACTCATAGGGGGTGGCATTATTGGAGGTGTGGCCTTGTTGGAGGAGGTGTGTCACAGGGGGAGGACATGGAGGTTCCAGAAGCTCAAGCCAGGCCCAGTGGCTCACTCTATTCCTTCTGCCTGAGGATGCAGATGTAGAACTCTCAGTTCCTCTCCAGCACCAGGTCCGCCTGTGTGCGGCCATCCCCCCCCGTGCTGGTAATGGACGAAACCTCTGAACTGTAGGCCGGCCACATTTATGAAAGATGCCGTGGTCATGGTGTCATTTCACAGCAATAGAAACCCTAAGACAGAGGCCTACAGTGTGGGCATGATTCTGCTGTGTGATCATCTTACGAAGAGGACAAGTGTGAGGTGTACCACCTGTATGTTGAAAGCTACAAAATGCTGTTGCAAGAAGTCAGTGAAGATGCAAGTGAGCAGGAAGATAGACCATATCCATGGACTGAAGACTCGACCAGGTGAGGATGTCAACTGCCCTGAAATGAACTATCTATTTAACATGTCAATCAAAATCTCAGCAGAATCCTTTCTGGTAGATTTAAGAGGGTGGATTATAATAATTAATAGAAACACAAAGGCATTGGAATGCCTGAAACAAGTTGGGAGGTATCCTCATACCCAGATATAAACCTGTAATTGTCACCAGGACAGAGGGACATTGCCAACCAGATGGATACAGATATCAATAAAACAGAAGCAAAGGTTCAGGATTCAATCCACGCAGATACGATTAATATGTATGACGACACACAGGCGGTTCAACAAAGAAAGCAGCCTTTTCAAGAGATGAATCAGAACAGGTTGACAAGATGGCTTGACGTGCGAGGATGCTTGCCATCAAGCCCGAGGAATCTGGCTTCAATTCCCAGAGTCTGCGTGATGAGAAAGAGGGAGAATGCCTACAGATTGTCCTCTGATCGTCACGTGTGTGCTGTGGCACACATGTGTCCCCGCCACTCACAATGTGGTGGTTTGAGTGAGATGCCTCTGTAGTCTTGGGTATTTAAATATTTGGTTTCCATTTGGTGGCACTGTTTGGCTATATTTAGAATGGTTGTGAGCCACCACGAGTGTGCTAGGAACCAAACTTGGGTCCTCTGTAAAAGCATCAAGTGCTCTTAACCACTGAGCCATCTCGTCAGCCCCTAACTTTTTGCTTTTTTAAATTCACTATGTAGCTGAGGGTGACTTTGAACTTCTAACCCTCCTGCCTCAACGTCCTGAGTTCAGAGATCACAGCATGTGCTAGTTATCGATCCCAGGGTTTTCTGCATGCTAGACAAGCACTCTGCCAACTGTGTGACACCGCAACCTCCCTTTCCTAAGGGGTTTTAAAAATATTTATTAGTTTATCGTGTGTGTGTGTGTGTGTGTGTGTGTGTGTGTGTGTGTGTGTGTGTGTGTGTTGATACCTGCACCATGGCTAACTTGTGGAGCCCACCAGACAAGTGGCACCTTCCACCATGTGTGTTCCGGGTTCTGAACTCAGGTCCCAGCGTCAGGAGCCCTACATGCTAAGCCATCTCAGTGCCATCCCAGCCCCTTTTACGGTTATGAGAGAATGTATTTCAGGGCTGGGGAGAGGGCTTAGTTGGCAAAGTGCTTGCTGTGCAAGCATGGGGACCCGTGTTTGAGCTCTAGCACCCACATCAAACACTGGGCATGCTTGTACACACTTTCATTCTTAGTGTTGGGAATGGGGAGGCAGGAGAATCGCTGGGACTCGGCAACCACTCAGGACAGCCAAACTGTTGAGTCCCAGGGCTCAGTGGGAGATGTCTCAGAAAACGAGGCGCTGACTCCCGAGGAACAACATGGAAGGTTGCCTCTGGCCTCCACAGACATGCACACATTTCTTCTACCTCCTAAGAAGGAGCGACTGTAAAACAGCACCATTTTTGCTCCCCAGATGGTCTTATTAGGAGATGACAGCTCCTGTGTAACTGTCCCCAGAGACCTGCCAATGAGACGGGATGTAGAGGTAGAAGGCAGTAACATGGAGATTAAAAAAAAAAAAACCAACAAGCAGGAACCTGCTTCTAGAACAAGGTTATAAAGTATTTTGTGAGGCTTGATAATATTTTCTTTAAGCTGAACATCATTACAAAATCATACAAAACACAGTTCGTTTGCAGGAGTTGGGGCTAAACCAGGAGCCCCACGTGTAGAAATACATTTTTAGAATGTAGAAGTTTCTAAGGCAAAAATGCCCCAGCAGCAGCGTGTCCTAAGTGTGCAGTGTCTGGAGTTGGCAGTAGGGTAGACAGTGGACCAGGTCTTCCCGTTTATTTCCACTCCAGCACAGCGAGCTGTGTTATAGCTTCCCAACCCGCATGCTCTGCACAGGTGCCCTGCCCAGAACCGATTTTTGGCATGTTTTTTCTTTTTGTGGTCCTGGGATTGAACCTGGAGTCTTGCTCTACCCAGCCCTATTTCCACTTCTTATTTTGACAGTCTCACTAAACTACTCAGGTTGGTCTTGAACTCACACGGTTGCCCAGGCAGTTGTTGTACTTCTGATCCCCCTGCCTCAGTTTCCTGAGTAACAAGGACTATAGGCCTGTGCTACCAGGCCTGGCAAGCTTAAAAATTTTTTTTGAGGCCAGTCTCATGTAAGCCTGATTGGTCTCGAACTCCGTAGATTGCCCAGGATGATCCTGACCTCTGGTCCTCTTGCCTTCACCTTCGGCTCACTGAGATTGTAAACCTGTGCCACCACATCCGGTTTGTGCTGTGCCAGGGACCGAACCCAAGGCTTCACGCACACTAGGCAAGCGCTCTACCAACCGAGCCTCATTACCAGCCCTTCACACACTCTGCTGCACATACACTGTATCTTTTCTACCGTTACGTGTGCTCAGACGCTCAGCTGTCACCGTATTACTGTGGCCTCCAGTGTCCACTCAGTGAATGTGTTAAGTTTGTGGCCTCCAGGAACCAGGCCGTACCGCACGCCGAGGCATGCAGCCGGCTGTCTACCACTGAGGTTTGTGTCAGCACACCATAGATGGGCTCACAAGGACAAGACCGTGTGCCAGTGCATTTCTCAGAACATATCTCTGTCGTTAAGCAACACACCATTGTTGTTTACCCTAGAGAAGAAATGAAAACTCTTCTT